AAGCTAAGGTTAAAGGCTGCTGAGTGTGCACTGAAATCAGTGAGGTTGCATTTACAGTTAATCCACCTCTAGTGAGACATGCCATAGGTATGATCAAAGAAATGGAGTTACCACTTGTACTCAATCACATTAATGCTGTTACTATAACAACTGAGCTGCTACTGACATGTACCAGAGCCGAACCACTGATCTAAATAGCAGTTATTTTTAGCTGTGGATGGATACGTTTGGCTGATGTAGTCTACCATGTTTTAAATTTGACATATGTGCAACAGGAAACCATATGGAGTCCCACCAGTACACTGTACCATGACATTGTAGTACTTCCTCCTGCCCTCAGGTTGCTACCATAACAACCAGCTCATTACAAAGATGTGGATGCTAGTTTGCGGTTACTCTTTGCATAAAAATGTAGCTGGAATAAAGTTAAAGCAGACCATGTGCTGGCAGCAGGCTGAGCTGTGTTTGCATTTCTTAGAAAAAGAGACACTGAATGTGCAATTGCCAGGTGGTCAGGTGACAACCCGACTATCTGGGAGAGAGAGGTCACCACGCGCTTGTTGTAATGGTTTGGTCGCGTGGAGCAGTCCTCTGCTGACCTCAGCAGCTTCTCAGCTGTTTTTACAGCCCACAGACCTGCAGGCAGTGTGTGTATGCTTCACTGCTGTTTGCATAAACTGGATCATAATGTGACAGTCCACAGTGGAAAGGCCTGTGCTTACAGATGAGCTATTCCCTAATAGCAATATCTGTCAGTATCAACTATTTTTCCAGGGCAGATACAGATACTTAATATTAGTCATCAAGGAAGTTGATAACCAGTATTTGGATCTGATATTTGCTGTAAATAGGAAAACATTTTTAGAATAACAGTGGACGACTTATACTTCCACTCCACTACGTATTGGAGGCAAATTGCTCGACTTTTTATTTGATATCTTCAGTGACTTTGCAGATTCATATTATTAATACAGAATATGAATACTAAATGATGATGTATTATTACAAATTAAGCTACTCAGTAGAGGTGGACGAAATATGTTGTTTGCGATAATATCGTCATTGTTGTTTTGAAGATGTGCAAATTTCCATTATCGAGTATTTAAATTACTTCGCCAAAAATATTGAAATGCACGCGGAAACTCCTCACATTCATTAATACACGGTGCAGCAACGCTCTCTACAGCATGGCAGGATTCAGTCACACGACTAGTGGGCCTACGTGATCACATGACGTGATCACATGACCTCTCGCTAACATCCTCCTTGCAACAGTTTAGCAGCGCGTTGTGATGGTAGAGAGAAAATGCAAACACCTCCAGTCCCTGAAGCTACCGGTACTTCAGATGATTTAGTGCCGAGGCGTGGGTCTACCTCTCTGACATGGAAATGGTTTGGTTTCGAAAAGACGAGCTCTTCAAGTTGAAATCTGTTCAACTTTTAACACCGCTGGGCGCTCGGAAAATGAGATTTTGAGCACTCTCAGCGCTAAAAATGTGTTTGGTGGACACAAGCCCAAACTCAGACAATTCCAATCACATTTTAAAGGATATCGACTGATTATCGTTATCGCCAAAATCCCCAAAAATAACGAGACTACTACTACTACTCAGCAGTATATAGTCTTTAAAATGAGCTCCACCTTTACCAGCTGCAATATTAAAGTGATGAATGAGGAACCCGATTTTTTCACAGATTATCTGTATCATGTTCTACTGTCAAGGTATAGGGAAAGTTTCAGCAAATATTACAAAAAGAAAGTATATTATTACACTGTGGTATTGCTACTTTTACTTAAGTAAAGAGCAGAGTACTTAAAGCATAATTATGTTCACTTAAAAACTGCAAAGGAGACCTCTAACATTTCTGTATTTAAGTATTACTCTACTGTGACTCATGACGCTGTAACCAATCAGTGCTGTGGGTGGGACTACAGAGGGGTGACTACAGACCGAGTTGGCTGCCAAAGTAGCACATTTTTAAACTTAGATATTTAATCGGCAATCGGATAAAAAATTACAATGATAGAGATAATCGGGAAAAAATGCTGAATGTCAGCTCTGATAATCAGTCTTTCCCTACTATTATGTACAATATCTTATATTATTATTCTGTTAATACTGTTCATAATGTAAATATCATACTAGTATATTCATATATATATATATATATATATATGTGTGTGTGTGTGTGTGTGTGTGTGTGTATGTATATATATATGTAAACATATATATATATATATGCGTGTGTATGTATGTGGATACATATATATGTATATATGTACACACATATATATGTATATATGTGTATATATAATGTTATTACTTTTTTACATATTTTTGTACATATGCACATTACTCTGCAATCTCTGCGCTTTGCACTTTTCGTTAGATGCTAACTGCATTTCGTTGCATTGTACCTGTACTTGTGCAATGACAATAAAGTTGAATCTAGTCTAATCTAATCTAAAATATTTGACCATTTTGTTATCAGTTGGCAACCTGTATTGCTGTCATATCCCCAGTGAAGGTGATTTTCTTTTTTAGATAATTTAAAGAATTGCATGCTCCTGTAAAATCTCCCTCCCAGAAGGTCCATGAAAACATTTCAGAACTCTCTTGAACACATTAAAAAGGCGGACACAGACCTGATCCGACGCGGGGACGTTTCGGAAGAATGCTTGCATCATTTGAGAGCGGTGGCTCTGAGTGTGTCATACAGACAGAAGTTTTCAGGATACAGTAGCCAGGATGTGCCAATCCCAGAAGGAAAATTGTTTTTTTTTTTTTAAAAGGGAAGGGGGGAAAACACGGGTAGTGACTCTATTGTTCTAACTTGGGGCCACCACTCGTGAAGAGGTAAAAGAGTAGAATGGAGGGTGTAGGGTTTGACCAAGGATGGAGGTAGCAAGGAGCAGTCTTGAACTGGATGTGAGCTGCAACAGGGAGAGCAGAGTGGTGTGGGAGCACCAATCTGATGATCCAAATTGGTATCGCCAGAGTGTTGTCATGGTGATGGACAGGGTTGGCATCAAGCAGCAACTTCCATGGCTGCGAATGAAGATAAAACAGAAGTGACAAAAACTGCACTTCCTTTAACGGCCACTTGAGGCTGGCTCCAGCAGTGAGTCAATCTCCATAAGGTCCCATATTAAAATGCCCAACTTTACAGAAGAAATAAACATGTTTACAGCCTGGTACAAAAAACAGTTTTGGTCTCTATAGCTACTCTCCCTGTTCATACAACAAAAAAACAACTGCAGAGGGCGTGAATTTTTATAGAACTCACCCATTTAAATTATATTAAAGTTGTGTATAATAAAGGACGTGGCTGCTTTGAGTGACAGGTGGGTGCCGTCACATGTGGCTGTTTTCAGGAAACAGGCTTCATTCAGCTCCACCCACGTTTTCCACCTCTTTGGCCATTTTTGGATTCGTCTTGGACTGCCAGAGCACACTGAGCTTCACAACGGCTCTTCAGAAACCTAATTCTCATTCTAATTCATCAAATACACATAGGAGTGGTGTTCAGACTGTTAAAACAACCACAGTATATTGTAATACATTGAATGGTATTGGATTATTGCCAATACACAGCCCTAATTTTGAATGAGGTTTTCTAACTTCTGGAACAGAACCAAAAGTTCCAGTTCCACTTTGACTCAAATAGATGACACTGTCTGTGTAAAATGTTATATCAGCGCCACGGAACCAGTATCTACAATCTAGCCTCCTCATGTAAATCACACGCTCCAAAGGGTTTCCACTTCCACTTCCACAAATGCATGATCATTCCTCTGGTAAAATGAGCGAGATGCTGTCGCTGCTGATCTTTACTGTCAGTTGCTTGGAATGTTAATCTGTAATCAAGGTTTATTTTCCTGTTGAATTGCTCTGGTTAGAGAGTAAAGAACAGCAACAGTAACACTCTGTATAACTAAATGTACAGTACAGTCTGTGTGTAAGACTTAATTGGGGATTAATCCAGTCCAATTTTTTACTGAGCATATTTAGCCTCAGTCAAGTTCTTACCCCACACACCATCTGTATTTGTTGGCAAATTGAAAATGCGCCCACAGGGCCCAGATGGCTAGTAGTGGTTAGTAGTCAAAGATGGGTGAATCACTGTTGAGAATTCTAGCTTCAGAAAGTCATAGCACTCACAGTCTTCTACAGTGATAATCATACGCTCCTGAAAAAGGTACAAGTTGGGTCTTTACATGCAATGAAAGGCATATTTTATAACCATTATAGTAATAACTATAGTGTGTAATATACTTCAATATAATAAAAAAAAAGACAACCCACAGGATGCCGCTGGAAAATGAACTTGAGCGTCCTCTGTAGTCAAACTTAATGACCTTAAACATATCTTTGCCATGTATGAACCGCAATTTCATGTTATTTCTCAGTCAAAATACACCAAAACTGCGGAGTGGCTGTCACTGCGCACACACGCTGCAGCTGCACCCTGGATACCGAAGAAAATGCTGTATTAAGTTACTGCTAATGAAAACCCAACATTTCATACTGCTGCACCACTTCCAAATTGCAAAGTGTTTATAGCTGTTTCCAATGGCTACACTCAAAGGCCTGCGGTCATAGAAAGGGGAAGGACTCAATAAATTGATCTTTCCTAAGTCCAGCCCCCCTTTGCTGTGTGCTCCAATAACAGCTTAGCTGAGCAACCCTCGGTCAGAACCTCTGTCAACTTCCTCCTTTCCTGTACTTAGATATGTTATGTGCCAGGCTAGTCTGTGTTGAAAAGACAACCACATTTTGGAGACGCTTTCAAGTTAAAATATCAGACTATGAAATATGGATACAGTACAGTTTACAGTTGGTTACGTAGCAGTTTTTAAACTACATAAGCAAGTTACTTTATTAGATGAGTAATTCCTTCAGTTATGTTGACATGTTGTACAGGATAAAGTAACAGAGCTTGTAGCACTGCTGTGAACCTCTCTGTGGGCTAACAGTGGCATCATCTCATTGGTCCAGAACACATCCCTGGCAGATGGAAGTCCCATGCCCAACTCTCCAAGCTCCATGGTCAACCAGTACAGACTGGAAGATGAGGAGGAGCAGCAGGACACCTACACCAAAGACATCTTCGTCAGCGTGGATAACCCAGAGAGCCACATCACTGCCATCGAAACCTTCATCATGTACAGAGTTGTGACCAAGGTGAGGACGTCTTACTGTACGTGTTTTGCATGCAGCACGTTTAATGACCTTATTTATAAGTGTCTCAGAGGACATCAGTGTAAACTGGCCAAAGATTCTGCATATTTGATCCATGTTGTAGACCTAGGAGTGAAGGCAGGCTTTCTTAACTTAGGAAATGTGTCCTGTCTCTGCTGATATATTTTAGGGAACAGTTAGTAAAACAAGTTTATTAAAAACTGAACATTTGTAACAGATGTCAGATGCAATCAGATTCTGTCTCCACTGAAACCAAGGTCAACCCTGTTCGAACAGCACTTCTCCCGCGTCGAGTCTTTTCAGCTTCACTGCTCTGGGATGCTTTCCTACGTCACAATATCACAGTTGTGGCGTGGCTTGCTATTCCCTGTGGTTGGCTTCTCAAAAGCACAGTATTTCATTATTGCAGACAGCCCTAGGTAAAACTCAAGACTTGACATGTTTTGGAGGCCATGAATAAATACAGTATTTCTCATAGTCCCAGGTATGGATAAAATACACCAGCAACAGTATTTAAAAGTATGTAGAAAAGAAGAAATGACTAGCACATAATAAAATAAAGAAACTGTCTCCCAAATTCAACACAAAGGTGTCCGCAGGGTCTTCAAAGGTCTAATCTGAATTTAAGGTCTTAAAATGTCTTGTAATTTTGACAGGTCTAAAACAGAAATTGATTGGATTAATGAAGTTAACGTTGTGTTAAGTTGCACTTATCTTTTAAATGTGTTTTGGGGAAAAAAATGGTATTGATCATGTTGTACCAACCAACACAGATTTTCCTTCATAGACTTTGTACTTTTTCTGCCAGTATGGACGTAAAATAGATCTTAAATTGCATTCATAATGGTCTTAAAAAGTTCTTAAAAAGTCTGAAATGTAACCTCCAGAAAGAGATTTGGGTACAGTCGTACAAGTTAGCTATAGTATATTCACATAATGGCAGCAGGTGACAAAGTAGAGCTGTTTTCTGCACTTAAAAATGTTTTCACATTTCACATTACAAGCGTTATCATAATTTGTACTTCAACACAATCAATGTAGGAAGCTCCATCAATAACTGTCTGTCTGACTCTGAGGTAGGAGTGTGTTGGTCTGTGCAATACAGGATAGATTGTGGGACACTTGATACGTGCTCAGGTCTATACACCTCAACCTGGCGGTAACACAATAAGGCTTCATGGAGTCTTGGTACTGATATGGAGCTTCTCTCTGCAGACAACGCGGAGCGAGTTCGACTCCAGCGAGTATGAGGTTCGCCGGCGCTACCAGGACTTCCTGTGGCTCCGAAGCAGACTGGAAGAAAACCACCCAACACTCATCGTCCATGTATGTATTTGCACGCACCATCATCTGCTTAACACATCTGTGGGCTGCTGCAGAGATTTTGGATGTTTGAGCTCATTTACCACAAGGCACACATCCTTAACATTACTGCAAGCCTTTTTTCAAAAAGCACTTTTCTTTTTCTTACCATCCAGGATTCCTTTGGTTGCTCATTTATTTTCATACAGTGTGAGAATCAACTTGCAGAGATCTGAAACCTATTATAAAATATTACATACTGTACATATTGTATGACTTATTATGAGGTAATAGGACATGTAGCAATGTACTTGAATATTAATACAATGACTGTAGCAGCAGTTTGTTTGATAAAGGTATTATAATAAAGTACTGTAGTTTTCAGTAATAATGAAAATTCCCACTATTCCTGAATCACAGTATCTGTCAATCGCAGTATGATGTTTTTTTCACCATATCGTGCTGCCCTGCCACCCACCACAACTTCCTACCTTGCACCCTGAACCTGTCTCCTGCTTCTTCTGAGTCAGTCAAATCTAAACACACAGACATCATACACACTGCTACAATCAGAATTCACCCTTTATTCACCATTGAGGATAGAAGTCCATAAATCTGTAGAACTTCTAATAATAACCCAGGTGTTTATTTGCTTAAGTCACTGAACTGAGCCTGCCTTTACTGGAGACAGCCGTTTCATCCCTATAGCACGAAACTATTGAGCAAAGATGGGAAACACTATCTAATTGTGGTCCTTCTCAACTTTTATTAGAGGTTTTAAGGAAATTCATATAAAAAGGCTCCCTGTATAACTTCTTTGACTTTTTCTTTAGTATCAGATTCAGATTCAGCCATGCAGTTATAAAAGTCTGTCCTTGACTGAGTGATAATGTTACACCATTGGTCAGTCAAGTGTTGGACTTTCCCCAATGGGTTGTTGCCCTTTCAAAATGAACAGGTGTGAATAGTCATAGGATGCTTTATAGCTTAATTTATGCTAGCACAAGACACTGTGGCACCCTGCATTTCAGCAAGCCAGCCACTGCTCAAACATGCTGTGTCCAAGAGGGAAGCTATTGAACTGAAAAAACCTGATGAAAATCTGATGGGGGATTTTAAAACTGGGCTGAAAAAGTTCTTTGACCTTCTGGTCCTCAGAGTCCTCCGTAACGAGGCTAGTGAGTACAACTGGCTGATGCAAACGTATGTAACCCCAGAAAAACTTTACAAATACAATAGTGCTATACCTGATATATGTATTAAGTGTGAAATGGCAGAAGGTAACCTTTTTCACTATCTTGGGCAGTGTACTGAAACAAAACTGAAGCAGTGAGAAGGTATATCCAGGACATATTATCCATACAAATTCCTCTAGACTCCAAGCTCCTCATCCTAGGTCTACACCCAGCAAATCAGAACATTAGAAGGACACACTACATTTTTTTAGAAATAAGTCTGTTAGTGGCCAAAATAATTATTTCTCTATCGTGTAAAAAAGTCAGCAGGCCAAGTGTGGGTAAATGGATTTCGGTATTATCTACCACTCTGCCCTTTACATTTCCTATCAGGGGTAAGCAATCACTATTTCACAACATATCTTATTTAGATAGAAGTAGGCCATATGATAGAAGCACCTTTGCCCTGTCCAAAACCTACAAAGGTTTTTGTTTTCAGCATGTGTACATTAATATAAGACATTATTCTAATGCAATCCTCAACACTTTTATTTATTTATTTATGTTTGTTTTGTTTTGAGCATTTTATTTGATGCATGAAGACTTAGTTCATGTGTCTTGCGTTCTTGTGTGCCTGCATAGATATGTATACATACAGACTGCAGTTAAGTATATGTAAGTGTTAAGTTGTGAAAATAAATAAAAAACACTGTGCATCATAGAAGCCTTCCATCAGGTTAGAAAAACAATCCTCTTTGTGGTCCAATCCAGAAAAAAAGCTTGCTTGTATTCCTGTGCTCAGGATTTTCTTTAGCGTACGTACTTTTTAATGTTTTAATGTCACAATTAGATGCTAAATCTGCCTTGCACACGTACCACGCCTGAATATTGTTTCTCGCTGTCCTCAGCCGCTGCCGGAGAAGTTTGTGATGAAAAGCATGGTGGAACGCTTCAACAATGACTTCATTGAGACCAGGAGGAAAGCTCTGCACCGCTTCCTCAACAAGATCTCAGATCATCCTATACTGTCCTGCAGCGAGCACTTCAAAGTCTTCCTCACTGCAGAGGTGTCTCTCAACACACACACACACACACACACACACACACACACACACACACACACACACACACACACACACACACACACATTTTAGACCAGTATGAGCATTCAGGAGCTGGATCAGCAGTGATGCACAGCTTTATTAAAGCCCTGCTGTGTGACTCCTGCAGGAGCTAATGTCTCACAGGAAGCAGGGTCCAGGCTTCCTGAGCAGGATGGGGGAGACGGTGAGGGCGGTGGCCAACTCGGTACGAGGCCTGAGGAGCCGGCCGGAGGAGTTCACTCTGATGCAGGAGTACGTGGAGGACTTCAGTAGCAAGATCTGCTCTGTGGACAAAGTCACCCAGAGGATCATCAAGGAGCAGAGAGGTACTCTAGCACAGTGGTCCCCAACCTTTTTCCTTAAGGGACCCCTTTGCTATCATTGAGTAATCTGACAACCCCTGACTCAGTGACATATTTTTGGGATATTTGATATTATACTCAAAACTGTACAATGAACCCAGACAGGGAACTCAGTAACAGAAAGATGCTTGCATAAAACAAGTGATTCAGATGCATTTTGAATAGATTATTTCCTGTTTAGGGAACTTTTTATACAATTCTCTGTGTGTATTAGGCATTTTTAATATTTCTTTAACAATCACACAGACTTAATAGGCTTATTTTCGTGGCATGTTTTCTTGTTCCTGATGCTCGGTCATTGTTCTATTAGACAATTTACATTTACTTTATTCACAGAAGTGAACCAAATGCTGAGATATAGGCGTACTGTGTAGTTTTTCATTTAATACCTTAAAACCAAGAATGTGTCAAGGAAAAAAAAGAGCTTTTTACTTTTTTACCATGAAACAAAAGATTGTATGGAAAAAAAAATTCAAATCAAATCTTATATTTACTGATGTCTAAATTCCTAAACTAACTGTCCCTTTGTTTCCTCCGTAACAACAAAAGTGGAACTGCACAGATTAAGTCACGGTCATATTATCAATATAGGTCAGCTGAAGGAAATAAAAAAAAAAAAGTATCCCCATCTTGAGGTAACACACAGGTGCAGTTGGGCTGTGGGTGTGCTAACCAGAGGTGGAGGAAGTATTCAGATCCATAAAGTAAAAGTACCAATACTAACTCCACTGTGAACATACTGCATTAGTATTTAAAGTAGTCATTGTGCAGTAAAATGGTCCCTGTCAGTGTTTACTATTACATAAGATAACTTTGGATAACATCACTGCTGTATTAAAGTAGAGCTAATTATTTATATACTATATATACTGTTTGGTACTTTTGGTCTTTGGTGCCCCAATACATCTCTATTTATCAAAGGCAAAAGAGGCCTTGCCCTAAAAATGACTTCATTCCAGGCCTGCAGAAGAATGTTTAGCTCTGTGTGTACTCTAATGTACAATCACTCAAATTTAACTGGCTGCCCAAAATGTTAAATCCAGTGTGTTTTAATCTGAAACTACATTTTGATCTCTATGTTAAATCTCTGGCCCGGTCCTAGTGTAAGAAAAAATTCCCTTCCTTCAGCCTAATGATTTGGAAAAAGTAATCCCTGCTTTTATTACCTAACGCCTCCACAACTGTAACACCTTATGCACCTGCCTCAGCAGATCTTTGGTCTTGACTGCAGCTGGTCCAGAACTCTGCAGTGAGGCCTTTGAAGCCCCTGCGTGTTTCCAGGTGTTGGGGAGTGCTACTGCGTTTGTTAGTTAGTTAGTTGTATAAAGCCCAGACGGAGTTGTGTGAAGTCTGATGAACGGCCTCAAGTGGTAGCATTACATGATCAGACCTTCCGAACTTAAAGGACACTGGATACCGTCCATCCAGTTTATGTTTATGTGTGTCCTCTGTGTTCCAGAGTATCTGGATGAGCTCAAGCAGTACAGCCCCACCTACACCCAGTGGGCAGAGTCAGAGGAGGAGCTGGCAGAGCCACTGAAGGGCGTGGCCAGCTGTGTGGAGCGGTGTAGCAAGGAAACAGAAGAGCAGATCCAGCATTTGTCTGAAGCCCTCGTGCCCGCCCTGCACGAGTATGTCCTGTGTGCCGAGACCCTGAAGGTGAGCCCAGACCACACTGCTTACACCTGAACTCCTCCATCGCTGAATAAAGCAATCACTCAAATCACTGCTTCTTCCACGCTGTTGGACAGACAAAGGACGTCCCGGAGGGGCTGCGAGCCGAGCTGCTGCTAATGTTAGCTCAGCTTGTTTCTTTGATAACTTAAGATCCAGACGTCCGATGACTAAAATCCTTCATCCGGTTCAAAAAACACCAAGATCTAAACAGTGGATGGTAAAAATGTGGCTTCAAACTGGATAAAAAATGTATGGCAGTGTCTGGCAGACAACCACAACGCTGACGCAGGCACAAAGGGGATATGACGATATCTATTAGTATAGTTGTTGCTACTGTTGTTGCGGTTCACCTTTGTCTCTGTCCTTCTCTCTTTACCACCCCTCCAAAAAAAAAAAAAAAAAACATAAATAAACAAAACTTTGAGCAAGTTTTATAAGTAACTCTTTGCCTGTTTGTCTCAGGCTGTGATGAGACGGAGAGACAACATCCAGGCTGAGTACGAAGCCAAGAACGAGGCCCTGGCATCCAGAAAAGCTGACCAAGAATCAGTAAGTGCAATTTCACATCCACACACACACGCGCATACTCGCCTCCTCCCTTCCCTGCGTCTCTCTGAGCCAGCCGGCGTGTGTGTGTGTCCTCCAGTCATCTTCCCAGAGATTAGGTGTAATAAAGTGAAGCATGGAGAGGGGGCTTCTCCCAAAGGGCCACCCTCAGCTCATATCGGAGAGGAAAAAGGGCTTCCTGGGAGGATTATCGAGATATCCAGGCTCGTCAGCTGGAAGTCGTGCTCAGCTCGGCGGGAGTAAGAGCTGTCAATATTATTTCACACTTTAAGCCCAGCGGCTAATCGCGGTGTAATGAAAATTCCCATATCCCCTTTAGACAACGACTCGCTGCAAAATGTCAGGAGACGACGGACGAAGACGGAAAGTCAGGAAAGCAAAGGACAGAGCTATTTTTAGACACTTTACTTGAGGTGTTTGCATCTGTGCACTGTTGTTTATGAGTGTGTGTATCTAGATTTGCAGGTGTGTATCTCCCCCCCCCTTACCCAGCTGATATCAAAAATCCATCTGTGAGATTTTAATTAAGAAACAGGACTAAGATTTTACCCCACAGACTTGTATTGTATTCCTGCTTTAATTAGGTGTGTGTGTGTGTGTGTGTGTGTGTGTGTGTGTGTGTGTGTGTGTGTGTGTGTGTGTGTGTGTGTGTGTGTGTGTGTGTGTGTGTGTGTGTGTGTGTGTGTGTGTGTGTGTGTGTGTGTGTGTGTGTGTGTGTGTGTGTGTGTGTGTGTGAGAGAATGGAGCGGCTTTAATTCAGCTTTTAATGCATATCAGTCCGTTTATGCCTTTAACAGATCTGCACTAATGAGAAGGGAAATGTCAAATAGATGCCTTTGTTACCGTTGCCAATGGGGATTTTTGTCAAAGAAACGGCCACACGCCGAGCTGAACAGGAATCCGGGAAACACACCGACTTTCATTTAGCTTTTATCTAAAGGAGCTCCTTTTGAATTCATTAATTTCTTTTGTTATCTGGAAAAAAAGTTGATTTGTAAGAAGTTGTCATTGGAGGAATCTGGAAAGCCGCCTGTGTTATAGTGGATAAAGAACCGCTTTTTTCTTACTGACAGGGCTCAGGGGACAGGTTAGTAAATGATTTTAACCTTCTGACTCATCAGTCAGTGTTACTATACATGTTGGAGGACATTTATTATGAAAAGTATTACATATTTGGAAAGTTTTTTTGATGGTATTTTTGTTTATCAACACATCATATACATGTTAATATGAATGAACAGAGGGAAGTGGGTCAATGACATGACATGCATGTATGACCAGATATGTGATAGCAACTTTTTACAGGTTTCAATGTTCCGTGATACAAACACAAAAGTATTAAGGCTCAATGCCTAACCACATTTAGTCCGTCCATCTTTCAGCTCAGGCCCTTAATACTGTATCTCCTCAACTACTTGACAGAGTTAGTGCGAGGATACCCAAAGATTGTTGGTGACCTCCTGACTTTTCATCTAACAGCACAGTCAGGCCAGAAATTGCCCTTTCACACGCTTTGAACATTAGGATGAAATTTGTTGCTCTCATGGGAATTAACACTTTTGATTTTAATGGCCTCACAATCTTTCTTCTAAACTAGAGGTCTTCCTTTCGATTCCTAGTGCCCAAAACCCAACATGGGACATGAGTAGGGATGAGGATTGATAGCATTTTGTTGAATCTCAGTCCAGTTCCAAATCCGCTTATCGAAGCCAAATCCTTTACAATCCCTTACCAAATCTTTTTAGGCATCTATTTGGTGGGATATTCCGACATCTCATAGTTTTTATTTCACTGTTTCACACCTAAATAAAATCTACAGTTCTGAAAGGTTGTAGGGCTTCTCCAGCCATCCAAAGCATAAACAGAGCAGTGCCTGCGGTTGACATGGACATCTAATGAAATCTGCAGTAGATGACCAGTTAACTTAGTTAAATAGTTAATTTATACAAAGCTACTTCAACCTGCCACAGGCACTGCTCGGGCGTATCCTGTCAGTGACTGGCAGAGCAGTCTGCAACACCACCTAGCGCTGTAAATACAGCATGTGGTTGCACTGTACTGCAGCAGAGAGTAAACAATATGCAGCTTTTCAGATCACCTTTTACAAGGTTGGAAACCTGGAAAGCACACTAATACACAAACAGTGACAAACCCTGAAACTCTGAAAAAGAAGGAAAACTTAAATATAAAATAGTTTGCTAAATATAATGCAAGCCTTCAAAACTTGCAAAACTGCAAAACCTTTTCTTTTATTACATTTCTAGCTTTTAAACACTGACTTTTTACCTTTTAAAACTTTTTTTTTCCAGTTTTGAAATATGACTTTATATTCAGACCATATTTGTGACAAAACAGGGAAACACAAAGACGGGACTTTGCAATAAAAAGTCTAACTTACTAACTTTGGAAGATAACAACTTGATTTGATTAACTCAGCCTGTTGACGCCTCATATTAAGTTAAACTAATAAACTTTTAAATACATTTTAGCACAAAACAGAGAGTGTGGATTGTGTCCCCATCACTTACAATGGAATGTTTTGCTGTGAGCTCAAACAGCTCTTTACTTTTGAAATGAATGTCTGTATGTTGGGTTCGGTAGCTTTCCCCTGGTCCTTAATGAACAGATAATGAACAACATAAAGTCTGTTCTACCCTCACATGTGGTTAAGATCATATGTTTCTGATATGGTCTGGTCCACAAAGCCAGCCTGGCTGAGGCACTGTCAGCACAGCGACACACTGAGACACTGAGATGTGATTGGTCTGTGGCGTCTATTCAGTCATAACTGGAAGACACATTCCATGACTGAGCTGTCTGAAACAAAACACATGACGTCTTTTGTTATGATCACAGTATGTGTCTTCATAACGCTGCTGTCAGTTCCTCTTGCTATCAGATCTAGACTACAGACTGGAAAAGATAGGAACATCCCTTCAGAATTGGCAGGTGAGAGCAGAAATTCAGAACTGTACTGACCAACCCATATCATGAGAATCTCTCATTGACTTGAATAAGCTTTTTCTGAGTCAACCTTTCCAGAGTCAGACTGATTTCTATGCCACAGCTCAGCCAGGAGGGGGCAGCGTTGATCCATTTTAACAGCACACAGTGAGGAAGCAAAGCATATTCCATTATCATTAACAACATTAAACAAAATAAAGTGGATTTTTTTCTACTTCCAGGTGTACTTTTACTTAATTAAACTAAAAACGTTGAAGAATGTGCTTAACTAAAATAAAAAATATATAGTAGAGTAGTTTTAATCTTTGTTTATCTACAGCCTAACCTTGTGTTAATAACTGTGTTTGTTCTGCATACAATTACATTTTTTATTTAATGTATATGGAATACATTTGTAATATACAAGTTATGTATAAGAACACTTAACATGGGCTTACACACACACACACACACACACACGCACACACACACACTGGATGCTCTTCAGCCACAGGCTTGACAAGGTGCCTGGATCGATTTCACTGCAGTAACACTCTGGCCACTGAGATCCCCAGTTTGTCTGTGCGTGTGTGTGTGTGTGTGTGTGTGTGTGTGTGTGTGTGTGGGCGTAAGCCCATGTTAAGTGTTCTTTGTTTATGGAACTTGAGTAAATGCCATTGTCAGTCTAAATGTCAGAAAGCTAATCCCTGCTCAGGCTCAGTAAATCCAGCTGCATCCAGCTGCATGATAACATCTGATTACCTGCACTGTGAGGAAAGCTAGCATCATGTGTGTTTTAGGCTCTCCGCATTGTCACAGGCTCAATTTACTGATAATGTTTTTATGCTGAAAGACACACAACAGTAGGTGTTGTAGATAATAACTGTGATTTATTGTGAAACTAACTCATTAGTCAGTGAAACGGATGCTGCCTGATGCAGTGGGTGTGTTCAGTGTCTGCAGTAATCCTCTAATGCTTATATAACATAGCTCTAATGGTTTAGAGGCTACTAACTAATGAACCATGACAATCTGCAATAAAACATAATGTGCACTTATTTGTATCTTCCTCCTGTTATTCGGCTACAGCTACTTTATTATGGTAAACTTCAGGATAGAGGAGGACCACACTAACTGAAACCGATGGTTTTAAAAATGGTGAGCAGGATTGCAAAAATAAATGTACATGTAGGACTAATCTCAATCCCCCTAGTTGGCCCTGCCTTTAGCTCTGGAGTGCACTCTACTGGATAGTGGCCCTTCAGGGTTGGAGCTACAAGGGGTGGGGCTTGAAATATTTTATTTCTCAGAAAAAAATCTCCAGAATATTTTCTCATGTATTTTCTGTATCAAATCATTAAATCGAGCGCCCATTTGCTGTTTGAATTAAATTAAGTATCGTGATTAATATTTCATCTCACCGATTGGAATCTTCACATACGTATTTTGATTTAACTGTCTCACAATATATATATTTATATTTATATACATTTTTTCACAAAGCATAACTCCCATTGCCTGGTAACCCCTGAGGGTCTAACTAATACCTAAACAATCATTACCATTGGTCACTACTCCAGTAATTGGGACCAACCTTAGATACAACTTAGCAACGGGAGATGTTTTTAGTTTCCTCAGCTCATAGAGCCCTTTGGCTCAGCTACGAGCCAGACAGCTAACGTTATGCTACGAGCCAGAGGGCTAATGTTATGCTATGAGCCAGAGAGCTAACGTTATGCTATGAGCCAGAGAGCTAACGTTATGCTAGTTAGATTCAAAGCCAATAACGGTACATACGGTCGATAACAATATCATTTGGCAGAATGTTTAACAACAAGAAAAGCTAGCTATCCGGCCATTTCGTTGTCCCTAAATCAATTTCAAGATTTTAATACAATTTATTTCAGTGCATTCATTTAGATTGGTGTCCTTTATCAGGAATGAATGGACACCCTGCAGCCAATCAGAATCCAGTATTTACTCATGTAGTCATGAATGATCAGGGGCTTTTTGTTCATTTCATGGTATTTTTATTGTACTGTGTGTGCTTTGTGTTGTCCTGTATGAGTCCTCTTGAGTTGTGTATAGCACTGTAAAGAACAGTCATTGCAAACTACCTCGGGCTCCACATTCTTCTACCTTTTAAAAACCTGGGGCCTACAACACAACCGGACCACCAAGATTTCTTTTGCTATGGTATGCTAGTAGTGGCTAATGTAGCCTGGAGTCTTTATAGCCTGCAGCAGAGATGAGGAACGGGCTACAGAGGTCTGGTAAACTCACTTCTTTCTAACTCCTCACCGACAGATTTGTTTGTTTGTTTTTTTATTTTCAAATGTGTAGTCCTCAGCCCCGACCAATCACCAACATCACATCTCTCTCTGGAGATACTAAAGGCTTTATAATATACTTTGATGCATCTTCTAAATGTCAGAAAGTCAGTCAGTAAAATCGACTTGACTTGCAAACAGTAACTGTCTTTCTTAGTCCAAAATCAGCTGTGTATACTGGTAAACTGATAACACAATCCTAACAGATGTATTTGTCAGACTGTGATGTTTTGTTCTCTGTAGTTGTTCACTCATTGGTTTGTGTGTTTGACTGGCAGCTGCAGGACGAGGTGGATGGTCTGGCGGACCGGGTGGAGCTGGCCAACAACGCCTTGAAGGTAGACTGGTCGCGCTGGCAGAACAGCATGAGAACTGACCTCAGATCAGCCTTCATATCTACATCTGAGAAGAATGTGGAGTACTACGAGAAGGTGAGCTCAACATTCAGACTTTACCCTTTCTATGACAGCAATGTTTAGAATGCATAATAGGTTATGACAGTTCTCATAGTTATGAGATCATAACCATTATAACCATTGACTACAATAGAGGGGGGTCGACGGAGGCTGCGGAAAAACCTATTTTAGCCTGAAAAAAAAGAAAAAATCAATATGAGTTAAGTTTATGTAATATTAAGAGCATTTTCACCGCTCTACCTCGACAGCATTTGTCTTTGACAACATCTGTATTCCTACACCTAAGCATTACAGCTGTTTAGGTCTGAAATCAAACTTCACTTTTCTAAAGATTTCAAATTTGGTGTGTGCTTGTGTTTATTGGCGCTGTGCCGCTGTAGCTCTGACCCAGACAGCAGTCCAGCTCAGCATGGACTCTCTGTCTCCTTTCTTTATTGCAGTTGACCGCTTGTTTTCTGCTTGTTTTTACTAGCAGTCTCTGGTTAGCAGTTTACTTTCAGGCACAAAGGACAAGACCCCAACACAACTTGGAACAGCAGGAAGAGTTGGCAACAGCAGTTTTCTATAATAGCTCCTTTTACTCAGGCAACTCCAGCTGTTCACTCCCTCGCTTTTCAGCATAGCAGTGCTCATACACCTGAATCAGCTTAATTAAAAGGCTGTCATTGTATTTCTATAACAATATCCCTATAGCATGCAGTAACGTCTGTGTTATCTACTTTTATTTTATTTGTGATGGCATTATAATATTTTAATGTATTCAGAAAGTAGATTGTGAAAGCTTATTCTTGATTTTAAATTCAGGTACTAGCTTTTTCAGAACTTTCAACCACATCTCTCAGTCTTCTTCAGGAGAGAAAGGTAGATCACTTGTCATCACATGACTTTAGTATGGAACTTTGGTGACGTGAAGTTTACACCTAACGCCAAGACCATGGTCAGCTAGTTGTACAGAGTATATGTCTCTGTACAACTATCTGACGAAAACCTGTTGGACAGACAAAGGATGTCCCGGAGGGGCTGTGAGCCGAGCTGCTGCTAACATTAGCTCAGCTTGTTTCTCTAATAACTTAAGATCCAGACGTTCAGTGACTAAAATCTTTGATCCGGTTCAAATCTAGAGTTAAAAAGCACCAAGATCTAAACAGTGGATGGTAACAATGTGGCTTCAGACTGGATAAAAAGTCAGTGTATGACAGCTTCTGTCACATGCACAAAGGGGATATGAATCTCCGAGGTAGAGGATTTAACCTGAGAGAAGAGGGTAGATATATAGATGGAGGAGAGTGAAACAGAGAGAAGGTGGGTAACAGAGAGAGAGAGAGAGAGAGAAGTTGCAATGTAGAAGAGACAATCCTATATCCAGATTAACGAGCAGGCAGCCCAGCAGAGACAGCAGAGAATTAGACGTTGAAAAAGAACAATGGAGCTAGTTGGAAGGAGAGAGAACATTACAGCAGGAGGAGAATGAGACGAAAGAGCCGTTACGGTAACAATCATTTACTCTTTTATAGCTTTTGTTAGTCATGCTGGAGTCTAAGCGGGCAGGACGGAGATACGCTTCCATTTGCTTTGGATGTATTTTGGTCCTGGAGACTGGAGCTCTGCCAGCAGAGGGTAGCGGCGCTTTGGATTTATTTCTCCTCAAAAAACTGGCTTGTAGAGAGAGGGGTTGGCAAGAGCTGGGTACCAAACTTTGACTTTTATGGCACCGACCAAATTTTAATACTTAATGAGTAAATCTGATCAGCATCTGTGCACCAGTAGACCTAGGCTCAGTGCTCTTTATCACAGAGAAAGTAGGTCCCACTTGCCCAGTACCACACCCACACACAGCGATTCTCTTCTTCTTGCTCTGATACTATTTGTTATTAATATTTCTTTTGACAGTTATTTGTATTTTTGGTGTGAAAGAAGTTGACATACCTACACCTCTGTCTCACACACACTGACTCACCCTGCCTCTTTCTGTTTCTCTCTCCATCTGTCACACGTGTTTGTCTGCTCTATTAACTTTCTTGGTCAACAGTATGTTTTATAACGTTGGGCAAGAAACATAATTCACGTTTTAGATGAGCCGAGTGTGGAGGACACTTGTTAATGACGTGCCTTATTTAAAACAAAACTGTCTGCCCATCTGTGCTTGTAAAATACCCACCGCCAGATAACATCTCTCTCTCTCTCTGTTTCTCTGCGAAATTATAAAATGAGTCTCTGACTGTTAGCATATCTAAATAAATCTATATGTGCAAAAGACTGAATATAACTTTACTGTTTATAGAGACCACCAATCAAGCTGTCTAGGGCAAATATCTGCCGATAATACTCAGTGACTGATCAATCGGAGCACCCTTAAGGCCCATGGTTTGAGATGACTTGTTAGAAAATAATATTTGGTAAATGGTAAATGGACCTTTACTTGTATAGTGCCTTTTTCTAGTCTTCTCACCACTCGAAGCGCTTTAAACTACTTCACACAATGTTAGTTAGTTAGTAATGTTAGTTTCTGTTCGATGGGCTTTGCACAGCGATGGCAAAGCTCATCGAATAAAAACTAACTCATTCATACACATTCACACACCGATGCACAGCATTGGGGGCAATTTGGGGTTCAGTATCTTGCTCATGGATACTTCGACACGTGGCAGGAGGAGCCGGGGATCGAACCAACAACAACCTTCCTATTAGGGGACGACCCCTCTGCCTCTGCACCACAGCCGCCCCTATATATATGGGTGGAATGTTCAGGTGTCCACATACTTTTAGTGTCTATGTAGTTTTATACATTATGTCATGTAAAATGGAGATGTTTTAAATCTACTTTAAGGCTGTAAGAGGTCAAATAAATATTAGATGGTGTTGCTAACAAGCAGAGTTTTCGTTCAGTCAGCCTTTCTTGCTTCACAGTTTCTAGTACTGGCCAGACATCACAAGAGCATGGTGTTTGGGCAGAGTTTTTAACAGTGAGTATAATAATAGGGAGAGTATGCGTCTTTGTCATATTCGGGTTTTCTCTCCTGGCCTCTCCCTGCAGCAGCTCTGACAAAAACACTCATCACCCGGCACAGCGGCCCCCAGGAAGCAAGCACAATACAACAAACAAGCACTTGTGTGTGTGCACGTGTTTGTGTGTCGTGTGATAATGTGTGTGTGTATAGAAGCAGCCAAAGGGCACTTGGCTTCTGAGTGTGAAAGCATTTCTAATACAGCCAGCGAAACGATTTGTTAGAAACTGAGCTTTCAAACATTGATTGTTCCCGATGTGGCGGATATGGCCATGGACATACACAACAATACAGACAAATGAGGCTGCTTCCTGCATATTTATGATTTATACCCCACAGTTCTCACTTTTCAACATCTCAGAAATTAAATATTAATGTTTCTCAAAGGTTCTTAAATTGAGCACTCAGACGTTATAAACAGAACTGTGTGTGTTAATGCTGCATGAATGGCTTCCCTTTTTTAATTTGTGAACATATTAATGGAAAATAAACAGAAAAACGCATTCAAAGCACTCAAGCACAACAGTGCTTGCAGCTGTTGTTTAACTCTGCTTGCATTTATCTGTTGTTCAGGAGAACTTGGATTTCTCCAAATGTTAAATCAGTGCACATGGGGCATTATTGTTAAAGGAATTCAGTCATTTGGTTAAGAGGACCCCTGCTATGTTCACCGGCTAGTCTCTAGAGTGTGTGTCTGCTGTTTGGTAATGGACAGGTAGTGTACAGAGGGTTGCTGCAGGAAACCAGGTCAACTGAGCGCTGTGACTGATCTCAAACAGAATATGTGTCTTTATAGCCAAAATAACAAATGATTTCAGTTTAAAATTTCTATTGTGTGCATAATTGCATGCTTACTGTAGGATGTTGTTTGAACTCACCATAGTCAGTGGTACTGGTTTAGTGCCATTGTTGTTAAAATGTCCTGGCCATGTCTGCCATTTGCTCTTCTGTTTTTATCTCTCTCTGTGTGTGTGAGTGAGGAGTAAATTCAGTGATTCTTACCTGACAGCTTCTTGGAAACAGGCGCTTGTCTTTCCAAGTCAATTGTCACACTTCTTGTTTCTGCCACCTAGCACAGACTGCTAATCAATCCGACCTTTAAAGAAAACAAAATATAAATCCACAAAGTACACAGTCCACATCGATGAGCCTATTACCCTTTTTTTTCTATGTATGGCCTTAGAACTGGGCAGGTTTTTTGATGAAACAGCTTTGAGAGACAAGTTGGTCTTTAAACAAAACAACTTCTTGTCTGAAGGCTAGTTTGGAGGCACACAGATCAGCTGTGGTCTGCAATGTATGTTGCATGACCCCAGTTATTAGATGCCTGCACTGCCAAGTCGGTACATCAACAGCTCAGCTCCTCACTTGTCTTGTTAGCACTGTCTTATCTACATTTATTGAGCAGCAGTGGCCTCTCCAGGAGAACTGCTCTGTCACTGGGTAAAAACGGAAACTCCATTACAATAATTAATGTATAGGTGATATAACTCTCAGCACTTAAAGGATAAAGCTCACTTAGTCATTTTTACCAGTTGAAATACTTCTAAAGGGCCAATACAAGCCATGAACTCGTGATTAGAGCTCGGATCTTGACACTAAAAGGTATTTTCTTCCCCAGAATGAATTTCATTAGGAACATTTAATTACATTTTAATGATTACAGACAAGTTCTGTTCATACCCTGATATTCTTACCATAACCAATCTCACTCCTCATGCCTAAACCTAACCAACCCAAACCCAGACCTTTCAAACTGTATGCATTTTGCATCAAGTACGATTTATCACTTTAAACTACGCAAAAAGCTTGTGATCCCTTTGAGTTCAGTTATGCCCAAGCAGTACTCAAGTCTAACAGCATGTCCAGTGTAGTTTCAGTGTGACAAAATAGCTATCCAATTAGAGCTGAGTATGTAAATGACATGCTCATACACGTCTGCAAGCTTCAGGTTGGTAAGACATGAGAGAACATTAGGTACTTTGAGTCTGCATGTGTGAACATGGGTTA